TGCTGCTCTGTGAGTGGGCAGTCTGTGAGATAATGATCCGAGCTGCCTATATTACCACAAACACAATTATCTGTTTCTGTAATTCTGAATCTTTCAAAGTACTGTGGAAACGGGCTATGCCCTGAGACAAATCGGACTAACAGTGAATTCCCTATATTGCGTTCAAGATGCACCTTTGGAATAAAATAAGCTGTCCTTCGTCCTGTATTGCTGATATTCCATTCATTTTGCCATGTGTCAGTTGCTTTCTGCCTGAATGTTTTTTGAAGTGTGACATTGGCCAGAATATATGATACTGCCTTATATTGTGTTCTGTAGGATTTTCAGCCGCTTGCTTTGCTAAAGTATTAGCAAATTCATTCCATGCATGACCTGCATGCGCTTTGACCCATTTGAGGAATATTGGCTATTTAGTTTTCTCTTAATATCTTTTGTATTGCAGTTACAATGGGAGAAGAGTGATCGGGATTATTGATCGCATGTATCGAGGATAAACTGTCAGTAAATATGATAGCTCTATTATGACACTGTTCTACTAGGTAAGTTAATGCTTCTTTTATAGCCAACATTTCGCTCTGGAAGACAGTATTATTTTCATGGAAGTGCCCTTGCCAAGTGTGTAGAATGTTTTGGTTAGCAACTGCAACAAATGCACTTCCTACGCCATTATCAATTTTCGATCCATCTGTATATAGGCATACTTTAACTTCTGGATCTGTTGCGTTTTGGTGCAGTATGCGGACTCCAATTCCTTTCTTGGCTGGATGTATTTGAATATTAATTAGAGATCCTTCATATTCCGAGGGGTTATAAATCTCATTTTTGTATTGAGTAATTTGACGTAATTGCTTCAATGTTTGCCTAGCTGCCTCTTCTTCAATTCTAATGTGTAAAGGAAGTAGTCCGGCAAGCACATTTAAGGCATCCGTAGAAGTTGTACGATAGGCCCTAGTAATCAGTAGTGCAAATGGTCTTTTAATCATGTTTAAGTACTTGATTTTCCGACCTTGCATTGGTGACGCCCATACAGCGCATCCATAGGTAATGATTTTTTCAATTACTGTTTGGAAGAGGATTTTCTGAAAGTGTCCTACCTCAAACGGAAATTGAGAGATGCAGCTCACTTACTATGGCAGACGGCGTGGGACAATGCGGACACCGACCGCCGAGCCCATGCACTGCTACCCAAAGTAGACTCTGAATTCATAATGACACGGCCGCAAATGGTATACTATATTACAGGGCATGGGCCCTTTCCCGCTTACTTTGCGAGATTTGGAATATCAAACTCAGAACAATGCAGCTGTGGTGAATTGGGCACAGCAAAACACTATTTGTATCAGTGCCCGCTTACAGAAGGAATGCACTTTCCGTACCCGCAGAACAACGAGCAGGCCTTTTGAAGGTTCCTAATTAAGCACAACTATCACAGCAAGGCTATAGTAAAGATCATAAAAAAGCTAATGGACATGGGCACTGAAATATGCCAAGTGGAATCCATTAATGAATATCTAACATGAAATGGTCTGTGCAAAACGCACCCAGCAAAGACAATATTCGCCTACACTGAGAGCGATACCTCAAGGTATCAATCACCGAAAAAAAAAAGAATTAAGTAATAATCTCAGATATTCAGCAGCATTACTATAACCGGGTAAAACTATGCACATGCTAGCACGCTGACAGTCAACAAAGGCATTTCTCATGTCCATTTGTCTGTAACAAGCATACCAACGTGTCATGTATTTAATTGTAATTTGTAATATCAACTCATGTGTCAGCTACAAGTATGTAAATGTATTATGTAATTTGTACTCTCATAAGCATGTGACTGTTAACAAGCATCGAAATGTATTATGTACAAAAATGTAAGGTGTACACACACAGGTATGTAATTTGTAATATCTGTACACAGGCATGCACCAATTCGGAAATGTTACAAGCAAATATATTTCAGCCCAGTTCGGCCATGTACTTAACTATTTGGTTATTCAATAAATACTGGACCTGAGCAGTAAGAATGAGCGTCAACCCGGTGGCATTAGATTCGTAGAACTGCCAACCGAACGGTCCAGGCGTTGGGTTTTGGGCGCGCGGTGCGAGCCACCCATGAGGCATCACGGGTCATACTCAAGATAAGGGCGGGCGTGACACTATGCTAATTAACTTAATAGTAAAGGGGTGATGGTCACGTCCTCCGTCACTTGTCACTTGTCTCTACACGCATTCTTCTAGTGCGATTTACTCTAAACGCGAGTTCAACACTAAATGGTGAAGAACCTCTCAGTTCAGATTTATTTTATGATACTATTATTGCTCTATTAGTTTTGTGTCCGAATGCGTAAGCAAAACCTGTAGCAGATATAAATGATGACTAGTTATCAAATTTACATTGATAACATCGTTGTGCTTTTATTTCGTAATTGTATTCTAACGCATATATTCAACCGGGAAACGCGTAAATTCGTAGTGGGTCATTACGGAAGGTTTAGTTTAATTTATACTTTTTCTTTGCATCAATATATGATCTGCATTTTTACTGTTTCATCTACACCGCCAAAATAAGTGAATGACAAGAATTTTAAATTGGCTTGCGAATTTAAATTAATGACAGAAGTTTTGTCTACATCAGCTTGTCATACTGGTACTCTTGTGGTAGTCTTGGTATACTTGTTGTATACTTGGTATACTATACTGGTATCTACACAATACCCCAGAAGACCCCGCCAACCTCGGTCAAGCCAAACTTTGTTAAACCCGCCAAACTTTGTCCCAATTAACAGAAAGGGGTGGCCAGACCTAACACTCTCTTCCCATCACTTAATCAACATGATTAACAATCGTCGCATTTGCTAAGATAAGTCCATCTCAGACTATCAAATAATTACTTTTGAAATCGCATTCGAGGTTCCGCACACTCAAACGGTACGTTATCGCGTCAACCGAAATGCAGACCTCACGAGCACCACCATCAAACGGTATCCTGAAGAAAGTCTTCTTGCAAGACGACAGTGCAGAAAGAACTAAGAGCATCCACACAAACACCAAACACACCAGATGAGATTCCATTCACAAGAGAGGAAATGCTTCAAATCATAAAATCCCTTAACAACGCCAAAGCACCAGGCCCCGATGGCATTAATAACCAAGTCCTTAAGCTCATCAACAAAGCATCTCCAGAAGTTTTGCTCAAGTTTTAAAACAAATATCTGGCTCACCACTGTTCTCTCGATTGTTTTAAAATTGGACAAATAGTGCTCTTCTCAAAGAAGAAGAAGAATCCAGAGGATCCAAGCTCTTACCGCTCGATCAATCTTCTACCAGATATTGAAAAATTACTCGAAAGACACCTCATAAACCCACTGAAATACCGTGTATTAAATGACAATAGAATCAGTTCTTGCCAATTCGGATTTAAACCGAATAGCTCCACCATTCATGCCATCGATGCAGCACTAACGCAAATCCAAGTTAACAAAGGCCAACAGCTACACTCTGCGTTGCTATGTTTCGACCTGAAGAACGCTTTTGACTCCCTGTGGTGGCCTGCTGTCAAGCAGGCCCTCAGAGACCTTCAATGTCCAAGAAACCTCTAACAACAGGTGACAGGTGACGGAGAACGGGGACGCCTGGTGTTTAACAATCTAACAGCAACTGACTACCTGCAAAATAGAAAAAGCATAGTACTCCACAACAACTCGATCGTCAAGAGGATGTCCACAGGGATCGTGTATGAGCGTGGACCTCTGGAATTTCACCTTTAACCATATTAACGACCATCACTGGCCTGCCCACACAACATCGTAGCATTTGCGAATGAAGTAGCTTTCATCATCAACGGCCGCACCAGAGAACAACTCCAGGAAAACTGCAATAGCACCCTTTAAGTTTTTAACGCTCTGTGTAAAGGAATAAAGCTACAGAAATCACATCAAAAACGCAGGCACTGATTATCCACAAACCGGGACGAACTATAACTCGAAATCACACATTTAAAATAGACAACCACAGGATCCGATGCATAAAAACGATTAACTACCTCGGCCTCTCCATTGATAACAAATTCAACTGGAATCAGCACTTACACAATAAAAAACTCACCACTATGAAAATAGCACAAGCTCTGAAGACAATGCATGGTTACTCATGGGGCATGAACCACCGCATTATGAAAATACTACTTTTTGGTGAACAAGATCATCACATATGGAGCCGCTATTTGGGCAATACCTATGACCACCAGAAAGGTTCAAGCTCTAAACGCCATACAAAGACCTTTCCTTATAAATATCACCAGAGCATTTTCAACTATCTCTAACAACGACCTACAGACACTGGCAGTTGTGCTTCCGCTCCCAATCCAAGCACAGATGGACGCAATCTCCGCAATAGTTCTCCGACTCAAGAAAACAACTAACTTTAATGACACCATATTCCACCCAAAAGACTATGAAGATCAGCCTAAAAAGCACTTTCATCATACAGCTTTGAATCTTCAAAACCTGCACTGCACTTTCGACAAATCACCATCCACAACGGAATACACGGCTTTCACTGACGGCTCAAAGATTGAACAAAAGGTTGGCAGCGCTACAACCATCCAATACAACCTTAGCTCACACGCAGAATGGCAAGAGCACCTTAGAGATGTGAACAGCGTACACCAAGCTGAACTGACAGCAATCCTCTACAGTATGCAAGAGCTCCACCAACTACCAACGGACACAGTCCATATCGTCAGTGACAGCCAATCATCAATCTATGCTATTAAAAATGATATTAAAAATTATTATGATATTAAAAATCCTTGCACAAATTCACCAATAACCCGACAAATACAAACAGTTATCAATTCTAGCCAAAAGAACTTCCTTGGAACATGGAAGAAAGGTCATAGCAATTGCGCCGGGAATGAAAGAACAGACTTCCTGGAAAGGAAGCAGCTCTCGAACAGTCAGGCACTACCATCCACATCCCATGGCCACGCTTTGCACTGAAGTTTACGCTAAAGGTGATGGCCAAAGTACAGTTGCAGAGACAATGGGACCAAGGGCCACAAGGTAAAAGGACGCATTCACTTCTATGTGTCGATACTGAGCGCACCATTTATAATTAATTCTCTCTCAATATATTTCTGGTCATGGACCGTCCCCAAAGTACTTCTATGAACGAAACCTTTCAGAGACTTAAATATGCGTTTGTGGCAATCCGGGTGATCCAGACCATTATTTATTCCAATTCCCATTAACAGTAAACTATCATATCCGCCATCCCACAGCACCAGGAACAGACTCCAAACGCTTCCTGATAAAGCACCGTAAAGACCACATTAGTATAAAAAACATAATTGACACACTCCAACGTCACGGCCTGGAATTGTGTGCACCATAACTTATAAATGCTTCTTCTTCTCCTTCTCTGGCACAAACGTCAGTTCTCCAATGTGGGTGCCTTTATAGTCAATGCAATAGCATATCTTATAGTATCAAGGTCAGTACTGATTTAGCACCTAGACAATACGACCACAGTTATGCACATAAAAAAATGGCATAACTGAAACTGGTGAACTCTACTGTATGTATGAAGTCTGACTCAATCCATGAACGTTTCATGAACTCTCAATGAACTGTGAACCATTTATGAACTGCAACTCCGTACTGATACTGCACACTGAGAAAACCTATCAACTTAAACCTATGACACCCACAATGCATTTCTCAAATATGGTATTACACTGTCCCAAATTACATCGTATTAATATCACAGTAACTTAACAAAGATAATAATGTTTACTGTTTTTCCATTCAATTCTACTTGTTTATTTGTGTACCTATACTTATATTTATATTTATATTTCACCATCAACTGTAATGTATGGTGTTGTATTGTAATGTCATTGTCATCAGCAACTGTATCTCCCGGCCATGCTCTGTACCACAAGTGCTGTATGCCCTGATAATAATTTTTCAATTAACACCGATGCGTGGCGTAAGTGCGCCCTGTGGAGGTGTTCTTCTCAAAACGGTTAGTGTGAAGGAGCGACACCAGTTCTGCCAATGGCGATGTGCTGGTGCTTCCCACACTTAGTCCTGTCCTGATACTCTTGTAAAAGTAGAACTGGAATATAAAATATGGCTAGAAGATAGGGACCATTTTCAACAAGGCAGACATCTTCATGAAATAGTCTCAAAAGTCTAGCAAATTTCAATGTCCGGTCTCTCAACTACTGTTTAAAAGGACACAACCTATTCTCCACATATTTTTATACCAAAAAAATTTCCCCTACAGAGATATACATTTTCGGGGAAATGGGTGATTCTGATTATAACATATTCACTTGCAATCTGACAAAGAATCACCATGTTAGATATTCATTAACAAATAAGCAAACTTTTCAAAAATTATGTTATAAAAGCAAAGCATCCGAAAAACAGAACATGCAAAGTAATTAAACCCCTTCGGAATACGGATGCAGATTTATGCAAGTTATTACTTGCTAAAATAGCAATCTTACAAAGAAAATACTGTAGGGTTTTTCTTATTTTGCATAACAAATTTATTTTAAGTTTGATACCTATACTGAACTTCTCAATTTACCCTCACATTCTTTCGCCAGGATGTAAATTTAAAGTTAAGTGAAGTGAACATTTAAACGGGTGAATCTCTGAGTTTATTCAGAGCGTACTTCGCTAGCCTAGCGCACGTTTCGTTGTTGTGTCGCTCTTACGCTAGTAAGCCTCTTGGCCGTATCTGATTTATCATCACGGCGGTTAGATTTTTGTGAGTCCACCTGTTAGGCGTAACTTAAGTGCTATCTAGTACTATTTATTTTAGGTTTGACTTAAATTATATTATACGTTTTAGTTTTCACCGCAAGTTTGACGGTGCCTTTGTAACGTATGAAGACCGCACCTTACTGTTAGCTATTTTGAATTAATAAATGGTTATTTTCAGCCTTCTTCTGAGTTGGTAGTTTCTTCACGCCTGTGCGAGAATTCGCCAGGTCGTATTTAGGATCTAATCTAGTTTATGTGGAACAAGAGAGAAAGATCCTCTAGTACTTCAAATAAACAAATATGTGATTCATTAATGTACGAATTATTAACATATATACAAAATTCAAGGTTCATTAAAATGACGAGTGAGTTTATACTCTGGCACTCGGACACTACATATCGATAGGCTTCTAGCGGTTCGCGGGGTGGCGTTTGAGAAGCGCGACTCCTGACGTTAGGCTCTTGTGGATATCCTGATGGGTAACATTTCTGTTAACATTAGCTAGGCTCAACAATACCTCAATTACCAGTGATACTACTGAGGTCTGGCACAGACTTGTGTTAAACCATGATATTCCTGTGCTATTGTCTATCTTTAACGCTTGTGAATTTGTCTTTCAATGAAATTTAAGTTAATAACCATGGGATTGTAAAGCCAGTTTGTTAAGCTTTAAATTAATTTTGACATGTTAAGTTTTTTGCGTTGTTATTATTTGTGAATCATGCAAATAATTAATATTGTTAATTAATTCTGTACTTCAGGCTGAATTTTAAATAAATTGTTTTACATAGTTTTACATACGACATGAAAATCTGTCGGAAGACTAAAACGTGTATTTAATTCCGGCCGCATTCAGTTAAATCAAACGGTTATTGTTATCCATATACTATTAGTGTCTCCTTTTATTTTATATTGCGTAATTTCGCGTCTAATTTCTGCATTTAGCAATGTTCCATGACTAACTAATGCGAATGGGCTGGCTGTATGGGTGTTTTCGTGGTTTTCCCCATGTGTAACGTGTATACGAGCCAGTTTCGCTTAGAAAGTCCTCCACGAAGGCATCCATTCCCTTAGGCAGATAGCCCTAGTGTGCTTTGCCATAATTAAATACACCAACACCATGACTAACTAAGCACACGAGAGTATACTTTAAATAACATACTGAAGTTGAGATTGCTAGAAATAATTTTGTATTTTGATTTCTGATTGCATATCGAGTTTTCTTCTAGTTTATACACTGCATATCCGGTCCATAGCTAAATGTAATCACGAATCGAGATAAAAATGATGTAAAAAATACAGCCTTATTTATTTTTCATGACCAGCAGTGCAACTATCATCTGTTTTATATTTTGTCATGTCAACATTACTTGGATCAAATTGGAGATTATTGGGTTGATAGATTTAGATTGGAGTATTATTATTTCTTACAGCAGGCATTTTGCCTACAGATGTGGTAATGTTTTTAATTTTTCCAGTGCGTTTACAAAGTGTTTTCTCACTTCTCTCAGTGTGCCTTCGGGGTGTAAATGGATAGCACATCCAGCTAGCAATCGGAAGTTTCGGTGTTCGAATCCCGGTGAGAGCACTGCATATCTTTCCCGTTTCCTACGTTGATATATCCTAACAACTCGGCACACTTAAAATGCAAAGACATAATTTAGCCCCCAAACATTAGAAATTGTTATGAGTCCTATTTTGTGTTATTTTCATCAGCTCAATTTTATGGGCTCTATACAGAAGAAAGCTTTCCCTCTTCTATGCAATAATCTAGAATTTAATGAGGAACTTGCAGTTAAGATAAGAAATACAAATGTATTTCTCCGACGTTATATGTACCTATATAATGCCATGTCCAAGTGAAAAACAGACAATAACGTTTAGTATAAGACATTTTCTTGTGATACCTTAGCGTATGTTTATTGTGCGGACAATTTTAATTATTTCTAGTAACACAAAGAATGGTGATAGACTAGAATGATTTTACTTACCCGTCTAAAAAATGCAGTATAGAAAAGTGATGCGTAAGTATTCGCGAACTGAAAAGCAAATAACTTGATAACAAGGGCATCGTTATGTCCACTCAGTGTTTGATGATTTTCTGAAAAATACGTAAAGGAAAATGAAAATCAAGGTACAGGTAAAATAAAGCAAAAGTATTAAACGTATATATAGTAATCTTGAATAATTAACGCAAAAACATTTTGGCTAATAACACAGCAGCACTCGAAAATATTTCAGAGTAAAATTCTCAATACGAAAAGATAAAAACGTTGTATTTCATTGAAGAACTAAAGCAGCAAATACTGGCCAACAAAATAAAAAGTCTGAAAGCTTTTAGATTTTATAATACGCCCAAAGGAGCGTTTTTTTAACGTTTTGTGTGTTACCTTTATTTAAATATCATGTTCTTCGCATTTAAACCATAAAATTCAATTCAATAACAATATCACAAATTATTTACAAGAGCATAGCTTTAGAATTTTCGATATATAGTATCGCGAGCTGTATTTAAAAAAATTTTTTTTTTCTTTACAAAATATAAAATAGATAATAAAACAAATTCCAAATGCCCATATTTCCCGGTGGAGACGTAAGTTATTCAAACTTTGATGGCTCTAGGTGCCGTTGTTTTATCACAATGTGAGAAACATATACATTTATGTAAGTTCTTCGTTATTTAATTACTTTAACTGTAACACAGGGCGATAATATTTGGTGACAACAATTTGAAAAGTGAAATGGATATTTAAAGTTTTCAACGCAAAATGCCAAAACTAAATTAATAGGCCTTCTGGGCTAACGCCCTTTGGGCTGAAAAAGAAAGATACTGTGCATTATAGCGATATTTCTTTGAATCCATTCTTAAAATACCTACCGAGTTATTTCTATTAAAGTTTTGTAGCATTTCTTGTTTAACAAAGATGAATTCGAAGGACTTGCATTGAAAGTCTGAAGAAATATTTGCTCCTATTAAAGTACTCTACAATTTGTTCCATAATGAACTTTTATTCTCACTCAGAGAATTCTACCTTTAAAACTAAAATCTCAGTTTACTGTGGAAATTGGAACTCTTACAGCTGGAACTGAAATAGTAGAAGGAACCATCAAACTCAGTTTTTGTTTAGTCTAATTTAAGCTGCTTAGTGGATATAGCGGTAAGCGAAAGCGTGCAATATGCTCAAGAAATTATATGAAGCTCGACTATTCCTAGAGTTCAATATCTCTGTTTCTAATGTCATTTCCTGATGACTAATGTCTAAATGTTTGAACTAGTTAAACGTTTCGATATTGTAATGGTAAAAAAAAGTTTTTTAAAGCCCAGAAAGGGATATTAACATCGGAATGGGTTTTTGCGTCGGTTCTCGATAATGAGCGAATGACTTTTCAAATTGTTATCACCAAATATTATCGCCCTGCATTATTTTCAACGAAATTAAATAATAAATAATATGCATGTATGCATCTATGTTTCCCGCACTTTGAAAAAATGACGTTACCTAGATAAATCAAATTTTGAAGAGCTTTGTCCTCCACTGGAACGTGTGCACCTGGAAGACCAACGTTTGAATTTTGAATTTTATATTTTATATTTTGTAAAACATTGATATACAAACAAAAAGTTTGACTAACTTTTTGATTTACAAACTCCACGGTTTGAAAGCGAACGATGGCAACACTGGAGTAAAAAATTTTTATCTCCAGCGCGCAGGACTGTGTATCGGAAATTCTTAAGATATGCAGCGTTTAAATATTTTGTGATTTTGTCCTTGAATTGGATTTTATGTGTCGTTAAGTGCGCAGAATGTGATACCTAATAAATAAAGTGAACTCGCGAAAAGTTAATAATAAAAAAACTAAAAAAAACGTTTTAAAAAAAGCTTTGCAAGCTATTCTATTAAGAAAACTGAAAATTAATATAGTGAATTGAAAAAAGATAGAAAAAGTTCTAAATTCTAATTCGGAAGTTCTTAACATATACTGCTATTGTGCTTTTAAAATATTTGTAATTTTGCTGTTGAATTATATATGGCATAAATGGGAAATGCTTAATACTAAAGCTAAAAAGACCAAAAAAAAAAAAAAATGTTAGCAAGAGTTCGTGCAACAGCAGATTGGTAGATTGTGAGCTCATCGAGAGCATAAAAACCTTAATAAACATTTTTGGGTGATTGTTAAAATTTGAGACCTTTTATTTTTTTTTAGATCATTTGAAAACATGCAGGTTCTGAAGTAATTTTTGTAGAGAACTCCAAAAAAGCTTTAAGCGTACTTTATTAACTGATACTAAATGATGAGAAAAACTTAAATTATGTTTTTTTACCAAGAAAAGAATAGGAAATTCACCACTAATTTTTAAAGAAATCTTTTCGAAAATTACCCGAAACATTTTGAACTTAATTCTTCAAAAGGCTATGAATTACTGACAACATTTTGGAGGTGCTTTTTTATTAAATATCGTTAATTCTAATTGAATAGCTTTATTATGTTATTACTTTGAGTCCTGAGCTTGAAATAATTAAGTATGTAAATAATAACACTGATCAAACGATATTTGTCATTTATTAATGGAGAATTAAGGCAGCTTATCAAACACTTCTATTAAAAATAAGAGTACACAAAAGTGCTGTGGTACTTACATGGCTATAATTAAATCTGCAGTTCATGACTTTCTCAGGTTTAAATTACTTCATTCACTTTTAAAGTCATATTCGGAGCCATTTTCAACACAATTAAACTTATTAATTTTGTATTTAAATTAGTATTTAAAAAAAAGAACTACTGTGTTTATATAAGTAAATATATTTTATAATGCTTCACGTATTTTCAAGGTAATATATATAAAATAAAGATGACAATTTTCTTCCGCTGAAACCGCAAAGCTTTGCAAAGCTAAAAAATAAACGAATAAAAAGGTTACGTAATTGTGAAATTGAATTAAACAAGTTTTAGTTTTAAATTTGAACAAATTTTAAGTTCAACGAAGAAATTTATGAAATTCGTTGTTCCACGTGGCAACTGCGAATTATCGTGAATTTCTGATACATCATTAATCGTTAAAATTTAAAATAAATTCATATAGTAAAACTAACAAAGTTTTGAAAGTATGTAAATCTAATTAATTTCCTGTGTCTTTGAAACTGATCTAAATACTATGTGTCGGGAATAAGCTATAATCGAATTATTGACTTTATAAATAAAGCTTTCCTTGTTCCCTTGGAAACTAGACATGAATTATCAACATATTGAGCGATTAGTCACTTACGTATTCGGTTTTTTAAAAATAAAGAAAGAATAGTACATTGTCACACGATTGCAAATGATACTAAACAGTTTATCTCTAAGACTGTAATACATTTTACTTAATGCTTGTAACCATTATATCTCTAGAAATGAAAAAAAAAAAAAAAAAAAAATGTCATGACGTGTACTCGGAATTACGAGTAATATCGCCTCAAAGCAATACAAAAGAAAGTACACGCGTTAAATAAAGACAAGTATCTTTATACTGAGGTCATTTACTAGCATCTATACATGATAACATTTGCTGTAAAAATCTTCAGATGGATAATATTTATTATGCAGAATGGTAAAAGCACAAATTCAAGAGGATATATCCTATAATATAAATTATATGTTGCTTTAGCCACCGGGATGGTATAGTGGTTAGGTGAGCCTGCTGCGGTACCGAAGGGCCCGGGTTCGAATCCCGGAGGAGGTATGAATGTTTGTAAATGTATATAGTGTCTTTGCGGTATGGGAGCACTATAAATATATACCGATCCCGAAGCCCTTTTATATGGCTTGATGGTAGAGAAGAGGGATGAGAGACCCTCGGACTCCCCGGGGGTATGTTCTTCCTCAAAACTGGGGTGGAAGTAGAAGTCCAACCTCCTTGAGGCTCTGGCAAATATCCTTCCTTAAAATTCATGGACAAGAAAACAACAGCAACATATGACATTTTAATATTTAAATCGATTCCGATGAAACTGATGATATTATTAACCACCGTGTGCCTCAAAAGTGTTCGGTTTGCATTAACAATATTTCGCAGGACTCTTCTTCACTTAAAATATATATTATATAGGATGATCCGCAAGTTGCGTGCATTAAGCTTTCAAAAATTGTAGGAACTCCAAAATGGATATGTTAATGACAAAATTGTTTTAATGGATGATACTCCTATACTTTTAAGAGTAATAGTATATCACTTGAAATTTCCATTTCAGTTTGCATTGCTAGTTTTAAAAACAATTTATTTGAGGCAATATAGAAATGAATGTTTTTAATGACTGATCATTATTTTGGATTTTTAAGGAAAAGCTCTTAAAACTTTCCAACAGAACTTCTCAAATATATGTGAACCAAACAAGACAATGATTTTTCGCTTGGTAATATGATTTAGAGAAATTGGAAACGGTCATCATAAGAAACGAAGAGGCTGGCTGCTTCTTCTAAGTTCAGATGTATGGTTATGTTTATTAACCAATAATTATGATTTAAACTTTTACTACGATTTTACCTTTCCGTAGCCCTCACCAAGATGAAGCTAGTACAGAGCTTTTGGCTGCGACTGCTGTAGTTTATGTTCAATCTTTCAGCTCTACTCGTTAAGTCCGGCTTTAGCCGTTTTGCGAGCCGACGTTAAAACGCAAATTTTTGAGCTGCGCCCAATTTCTGGATACTCCAATTTCCCAATTGCGATACCTTTAATTTTGACTGATTTCGATTGGAAAATTTCGACTGATGTCATAAGAAGTAAAATGATTAATTCTTAGAATCTGTTCTGAAATATTACGCGAAGTTCAATTGAATACGTAGTTCTGCTGGAGTTATCAGTACAAAGGGGCCTTGTCTCTGAAGGACTATTGTTTTCGTTTTGTGATTTTGCCTTGGTTCACTATAAGTGTCCGTTTAACTTTACAAACTGTGGCCACCAAATGTTAGAGCCCTGCATTATATTTGAAAAAATTTAATAATGAAAAATCTGCATAAATGCATGTATATTTCTCGCAATGTGATAAAACAAAGGTACATAGAGCCATCGAATTTTGAATGACGTAATCCTACTGCGAATATGGCCAAGTGGAAGCCCAAATTTGAAATTTGGAATTTGTTTTATTATCGATTTCATATTTTGTAAAACTTTAACGAATTTTTGATTAACAAACTTGAGAATTTCAAAGCGAGCAATGCAACGTTGTACAGAAAAAACAATTTTATCTCCAGCGCGTGAAACTGCATATCGGAAATTCTAAAGCTCAATTTAGACTATTTTGCTCAATTTAAGCAATTTGCTTAATTTAGCTCTATTTAAAACTATTTTGCGATATTGCTCTTGAACTGAATTTTATGGTTTAAGTGCGAAGAACGTGATATTTAATAAATAAAGGTAACACTCAAAATGTTAAAAAAACACCCCTTTGGACGTAATTTAAAATCTGAAACCTTTCAGATTTTTATCTTTTATAAACAGTATTTATTTTTTAATAATAAAGTAATTAATATAAAACATAATTATTATTGCTGCATTCTCAGTTAACTATTTCAACATAGCGAGGTAAAGGAAATTTCCAAATCACTTGCAAAAATTAAAATTTTTAGCAAGAAAAGTTTGAAGAAATATTTTCTTTCAAGAAACTGTTATTGCCAAAATAATTCTGTTAATGCAGGGGTTCTCAACCAGAACGAGATCCGCCCTAGGGGTGAAGTTCATAGTTTTAGGGAAAGGAATATAGACAGCATTGTGTTTAAATATTAAGTATTTTGGTTTAATTTATGAATATAAAAATCTACTTTTATTCAAGTTTCGTTACTCATTAACATTTTGCTTAATTTATAAAAAGCACGTTAAAAGTAATCTAAGAGGGAATGATATTTTAGCAATGATGAAAGGGTGCGTGAGGTAAAAAACGTTGAGAACCCATGTAATTAATGCGTTAACCCAGGTAACCCACATGATTAATTGATCTAAAGATTAATTGGGAACTAGAAGTGTAAAACTAAGTAAAAGGTTCCCTTCCATTTTTAATAAAAAATAAACTAATCCAATATATGGTGTAGAACTTACCCCATTCAGTGAGTTTAACAGCGATATATTCATAAATCTATGAAGAGAAAATATCCTAATTAATAAAACGAAACAACAGAGAAAAATTATTACAAATCTTCAAGCATTCACTTAAATCTTTTTGTGAATTTTTAAAAAGTTTTAAAAATATTATTTCCTTATTTTTATTATTTTTAATTTTATTATTTTTATTCCTTATTTTTAAGTCTTATTTTTATTATTTTTACTAAAATTCTTTAATTTTCGCGGGTCGATAAAAACTTTATTTAACCACTTTTAACGCATGATAGCATGATTTCAGCAAATGAGTTCAGAAGTTAATAAAATTCGTAAATGAATTCTGAAATTAAACAGTTAGAGAACATTATATTTCTAATGTTTTATTTTTCACTATTTCATTTAGTAGAAGGAAAACTATTTCTGATGGTTTATAAAATAAAATAAATATGATTGAATTTTAAACCTGAAACCTAAACTCGAAAGAACGAAATACGAGTAATACAAATTAGAGAAGTGTTCAAATGAGCAAAAACTTTGCCAAAATAATTTCATTATAAAGTGAAAAGTTTCAAGAAAGATATTTAAAATGCATAACTGAAAATAAAAATAAAAAAAAATATTTTACAGACTATGGAAAAATGAAAATCTCTCCCATTCTTCGAAAATTGTACAGAGTAATGCAGAAACACTTCTTCGTGCACAAATTTACAGTTGTAAATATCTGCAAATTTTGAGCAACCTTCTTTTAGTTATTTGAAAAAAATCTATAATTTACCATACAGAAATGAAATCCACTACGGTTAGAACATATTTTTCTTTTTTTGATTTTCTCTTTCATATCAGATTAATTAAATAAAACAGACCTGTCAAGAAGGGGAAAGTTCTATATAATTTTCTATTGTATTATAGTTTCTATTTCTATATAATTTTTTCATCTCTAAAAATTAAAAAAAAAAATTCCGAAATGCCACTGTATCTCCATTTACATCATTTAAACAATAATGATATGTTATTTCTTGCTGAATTCATTTAGAAATTGAAATGACCTAAAAATAAATTATTATGTAAAATCTAAATAATAACTTATATAATTTTAAATTTTTTACAAATGTTATCAAGTAGGATAATTGGATTATCTCAGTTTAAAAAGGCTATATACCTACTTTACTTTTACTCGTATTGAGGCCGCCCTAAAATATTGGCATTAACAGACTCTCTAGAATTTAGAAACAGATTTTAACATCCTTCCTCTTACCTTTCCTAATATCATAATTGACAAAGTATTCAGGAGTGTTGCAATTATGGTTCCGTGCAATAGGTCACAGACTTTGTCTTCCGGGCTGCAGAAAGAAACAGTCATCCACACGCGATAGACGATTACACCAGTTACGCTTATAAATACAAGCATCACCTAAATTTGGAAAAAAAATTTAATTGAACGTGATGCGTTATAAGCCTTAATTAAGATATTAACATTAAATTTTCATTTATTATCACTGTAAGTCTGCGATTTCAATCTCCTTAAAATATTTCCCTCATTGTTCTTCAACAACTCTTAAAGAATTTAAAATGCTTTGAATTATTAAACTGAAAAAAAAGGATATATATACATATCCTTATATATATATCTTTATATATATAATTTTTTTAAGTAAACAAGGTAATTAAATATAAGTAATAAATTGCCTATTATGCGCTAAAGCTGCAAAATAATAAAATAATAATTTACTTTCTACTAGATTATTTAATATATTATATAGTTTGAAAACAATTTTATGAATCGAATTAACTCATTAGACTATTTAAAATGGAATTATATTAAAATTTAAAATGGATTATTAGAATGAAACAGTTAAAAACGAAAGTGTAACCAACAAATTAAATAATTATCGTCATTGACCGGAAATTAGTTGACTTTCCAAGGGCAACAAGCTAACTTCTGATCAATTAACAATAATTAATAGAAGATGGAGTAATAGAAAAAGGCGACATACTTTCGCTTCTATTAATTATTGTTAATTAGTCAGAAGTTAGTTTGTTCCCCTTAGTCAACTAAATTCCGGTTTATGACCATAATTGCTTAGTTTGTTGGCTACATTTTCGCTTTTAACTATTTAATTTTAATAATTCCATTTGAAATATGGCAATGAGTTAATTCAATTCACAGAATTCTAACTATTGCTTTCAAAGTTAAATAATATATTAAATAATTTACTGAAAAAAATTATATAAATGCATGTGTGTAAGATAAAAAATATGAAACTAAATTCCTTCATTTAATTAGCAATAGCCCCTTTATTCTTCACTTTAATTTGGGTATTTCCCTTTTCTGTCCTAAAATGAACAACTATAAGAAGGTTGCTATTTATATTTCTGATCTTGGCAACAGTAAGTGTTGCCAGGCGACCGCAGACGATTCCAATCGAAAGTTTGATATTTTTAACCATAATTTTTTTAGAATTTTTGCCATTTTATCGTGATTTGTATTGTTTACAGTAAACTGAAAAATTCGTCTCGGGCAAAAAATGGAATTGACTCGTGAACCTTTTCGTGAGATTATTTTTCAAAAATTTTGATATGGATTATCAATACAAGAGTGCTTCGATGAACTTCTTCTTTATACAGCGATAAAGCACCATCCTACAGCACTGTAAAAGACTACGAATTCAATCTTAGTCGACGTTCAGTTCAGGACGAATTCAGTGAAGGTTGTCCAAAATCGATTATTGTGCTAGAAAATATCGATGCTCTGCGTGAGCATCGATATTTGCTGATAAAGCAAGAACATTATGTGACATACCGTGAGACTGAGTCATCTTTGGGCGTTAGTATGACAATAAGATATTACATGAACATCTAGCCGTAAAAAAAGATTTGTTCGCGTTCGATCCCGCATAACTTGACAAGCTCTCAAAAGAAGGCTCGTGACGACTAGTGAAAGAAATGTTGGGAAAATATGTTCAAGGTGCATGAAAGGCTGTGTATAACATCTACACAGATAACAAATCATGATTCTACGCATATAAATCTGAAACAGAACAACAGCCGACTGTATGTGTCTTCGAAGACAAGCCAAATCCAACAGTTGTTCGCGGAAGAAGCGCATCGAAGCAAATGGTTGCCTGTTTCTTTGATATTACCGGTCACGTGACTACAGTTGCGTTAGAGCAACGCAGGATGGTCAATTCGAAGTGGTACAAGAGCATTTGTTTGCCAGAAGTCATCGAAGAAATTCGATAAAAGCAGCGAATCATTCTACATTATGGCAATGTGAGCTATCACAGATCGGCTCAAACAAGGGAATTTTTGACGGTCCAAAACATCGAATTGGTGGGATATCCGCCGTATAGCCCTGATTTGGCACCCAATGACTTTTTTTATTACCGCACATCAAAATAAATTACGTGATCAACGATTTGCGACACCCGAAGAAGCGGAGATGCATTCAAAATGCATGTTTTGGAGTTACCTCAATTGGAGTGAAATAAGTGCTTCGAAAATTGGTTCCAAACTCATACAGAAGCTTATTGATCTTTATGATGAATATTTTGAAAAACAATAAAACCAATTTCGATCATAAACATTTCTTTTTTCATTAGGCCAGAAATATCAATAGCAACCCTCGTATATCAATCTAAACTGCGTCATTTGACTCTCTCATCCTGTCCTCTGAATGCTACATATTTCGATTTTCGCATCGCTACTGCCAACTTGCCGCTGCTTCCTACTTTCGTAAATTATTCTTTGAGACAAGGCGCTACAGAGACCTTTTTATTTGTACTGGCTCAAAAGTTTGTGTCAAACAAAAATAAAAACGTAATAATTAAGTTCGCGCTCGTCTGCAAGTTTCTTTCTTTTACATCTAAAGTTTTCAAGTTATTACACATATGTGTGTGTAAGATATAAAAATATTACGGAAATTTATCCATAAATCGAATTTGTTCGGAACAAACTGACAATAGAACTTCAAATTTCTAATTTTCAATTAAAGCTCAAACCCTTCAAAGCATATGAAATTTCCCTGCAGTAGCCACATTACTGTGGACTTTTGCCCAATCGTGGCTCGTTATTAAAGCAAAGACTTTGCGAACTTATAAATACTACTACAATTATTACACATCACTCTCTCGCCGTTTCGGCTTCCTGATGGCAACCTGTTGCTTAGCCTCTGCTAGCTATTTTTCATTAATTAAGATGTAATTGCGTATCTAAAATTGTGAGGCACATATAGCACTCCTAATGTTCTACCAATTAAAAATATGTGCTAAACAATTCGTCATCCAAAGATAAATGATATTTAATTACCAAGCTACTGGTGCTTCTTCTGAAATTTGATCCGGTCATCCACTACACCACCATTTCCAGTCGTCTGCGCAGCAGTTTTCTCAGTCATGACTAAAAGGTGAGCTATTCTATGCATATTTACTCTTGCTTCTAAAAGCGTATCTTCTGATATTTACAAAAATTTATTAAGACAAATTTTTCAGATTTAGGTCCCAAAGAAATTTTAAATGATAGAAATGCTGGTTCTTCAAAATTTAAGCTTTTTTGAGAAACTATAATGTTACACAATTATTAACTACTACTAATAGACCACAAACTAATGGTAAAGTAGTAAGACTGAAGTGTAATAATTGCAGTAGAATTTATAAGCTCGGAAAATCTTTGTTTAAATCCTGAGCAGCACTTGCGCAAAATTTCCTCGCAGAAATCCCAAATGCCTTGAAGGGTTTGCGTTTTAATTGAAAAGTTTTAAAGATCTATTGTCAGTTTGTTCCAATTAAATTTAATTTGTAAATCAAATTCTCACATTTCTATATCTTACATATATGCTGTAACAGCTTTACATATTATTAAAATCTTGTAGTTTAAATAATTTAAATAGATGAACATTAAGGTATTTGTTAATGGCAATATTTGAAACCAGACTCGAGTGCCACCTGCGACTCTCGCACGAAGAATGTAATATTATTTTTAAATGTTAGAATATGTTTTCTCTTCTTGTTTGTATGTCGCCATTTTTTTAGTGTTAAATAAAAGTTCTTGCTGTGTTCCATCATTGGAGTTGCTTCATTTCGCCAAAGAAGTATCACAATGCGCATATATGCAGAGTGATTAAACATATATGATAAAAATGTCAGCTGAAGAAGATCGACATAGACAGATTATGTAATGGAATATGTATGAAAATGCAGCTGATGTGGTACAGGGCGCTTGTGGTAGTGGTAAGTGGTAGATAAAAATATTAAGCTGGCATAAATCGCCATTCCCCTTACAGATTTCGAGCGATAATCTTCGTTACAAAAATACGCAGCTCTCCGACATGCGGGTGGTGAAATGTGCAGCAGATGGAAAAGTGCAGTTGTTCAAACATGGTAATTTAGAATCATTCTTCTTAGATGAAATGCCTGTTGACGAGTTGCTCGCTTATGCAATGATGCATATCGTTCGAACCTCACGGTAATTAAAATTAACGCCAGCAAAATGCTTATACTTTCCGTTCAACAATACCTTCACATCAACATGCGAATTCCGTACTCATATTCCATTACAAAATCCTCTTATTTCAGTCTGTTCAGCCCGCTACCTGTTTTTCCATTTTTGGCAGACATTTTTAACTATATATAAAAAATAGAACTTACATTTCAAAATGATATATATACTGAATATTTGTAATTCAGATAAAATATGTTTTAAACATAAATTTTAAAAGAAAATACATGTGGGTTTCAAAGAAAAAAGTATGTGTTTTTTAAAAAGAAAGGTAAATAGAACTAAGGATGGTACACAAAAAGATAATAGGAAGTATATATAGTTGCAAATAGGACATTTTTGTCACAAATGGTAAATTCTATTGTAGAATATAATTAACACTACAAAAGTTACTTTTTATTATAAAATGTAAAGCTTTAGATTTGAAGTCAGAGTAAAACCAAGTCACATAAATACATCACCACACTATGTTAATCAAAAGAAAATTTTATTTATTCTTATCACTTTGATTATCACATTTTGATTTTATGAAAGCAGGATTTAAGCAATTACAGCTCAAGCACTTTAAAACTCGAAGTTTGGGATATAAAAAATAATCAGTATAAGCTGACGGGATAACGAAAATTCTATATATCTTCCTGTAAATAGTTTAAATCTATTGCCTGTATCACAAGAGTGTTGAGTTTTTGAACACAATAAATGTACCTCTACCCATTATAATAAAGTATGAATTATTATTTCATTCTTTCAATGACGTCCTGCGCAATGAAATGTGTACAACAGTTTAACATTATAATATGAAGTATGAGATTAAAAGAACAACGATATAAACTGATTGGTTAAAGAATACTAATTGATCTTCTGTATTCAATTTATACCTCCTACCGATTTCGCATTTCTCCTGTATTTTGTCTCAATCAAAGTATCATCAGAATAACCAAAGTGTAAAGTATGTTTCCAACCTTTATTGATGTATCGCATACTAAGATAAGCCTTTTCTTCCAGATGTTTGGTCGAGTGTCCATAAATACAATAAGGTCTTTGTTCCATAGGAAGGACTAAACTGTCTGTATGTCACAAGAGATTTGAAGGGGAGGAAGTGGTCAATGTATGTTTTGATGTTTGATTCTTGATGTTTGCTAATATTATTTTTATTTCAACGAAACTTTCTGTCTACTAACTATTATATTCTAACTGGCACCGTACGTGAAAATGATAAATACAGGTACTCATATTTAAGATTAATAAATTTGCGTTTTGATATTATTCTTTCCGTTAAAGCTAATGAAAGTAAATTTATTCATTTTCTCTAATTGTATGGAATTGAGACATTCCTTATGCATTCGCTTAAATGAATTCAATAGCGCGCAAAATTAATGATGTGCAATGGTACTGTCTATCTTCCTGCACCTTTATCCTTTAGAATCAAACGGTAAGCACATCCGTCCTAATCTCAAGTCAGCAACCGTCCAGACACATCCATCGGATAATTTCAAGGTCTCGACTCCGAGTAAGACCACAGTCCCATTTTTTTTATGAAACTTTGCAAGCAAGTATCTACCCCATTTTTACAAGTCCGAATCAAAGTTGGTAGACTAGAATTCGGTTGGGTACAGCTATTTGGGTATACGTTTTCCATATGCTTTTAGATAACATATCGATCTTGCAATCTGAGGACGTAAATTTGTTTCCGAGTGAGCGCATGGTCTGTTTATTTTATTATGAACATCTGTTCTTTTCATTAGTGTTATGTACACCGCTTATTTTATTACAAACATTCTTCTTCTTTATGAAGAAGAATGTTTGTGTAATAAAATAAGCGTGTACATAACACTTCTTCTTTATGAAGAAGAAGAATGTTTATTAATTAGTGACAATCAGTTGGGACTTATTTCAATTAGTTACTTTTGCATTCGAATATTATTTATGCAGTTCCTTGAGATTACAGTTGATAACAATTCATCATTACAGTTCCCATGTAGAAACTTGACATTGAAAATAACAGCTGTAATGAAATAAATCTTTCAGGGAACGGAAGAATTCAGCATTTCATTACTATTTGTTCAGCTGCTTAGATATTTCTCATTCCATTGCGTTCTTCATGTTACTTATTACTACGCATTATATTTTAGAACTAATGAACAGCGTGGTAGAGAGCAAAGTTTTGAATGATGCTTATAGGTGGCTTTTCTTATTTTAAACATTCAGAAGTTGAAAGAATGTCTTTTGCTCAGTAAATTTTACGCGCATAGTTTTTACGTGTTCCTTAATATTCACTACTCTTTAATAAGTAGAAACATGAAATTTGTTACAAAGCAGTTTAGCAGTTTTTGCTAAAAATGATAACTAAAAGTAAGCAACTAAAATAACTTAAATTTAAAAATTATTTTTTAAATAATTTTTTTATTGTTTACCAAAGAAATATTTTAAATTATCTCAAGTATTCAATTTCTTGATGTAAGATCCTATTAAAGGTTTCGGGCATGGTACTGAATACATTTTCCAAAAGATTGATAAATTGAGGAGCCTCTAACAAAACAGAAAAACAAATTGCAGGAAAAAAACTAATGAAAAGGAATAATGAAACTGTGATTATAAATTAAATTTAAGCTAAAATTGTTTTCTATAATGCTGCAATTTTCAACTCTCATCATCGAAATTTACTTAGCGAATAATATTTCAACTATGACTATGATTTGAATACAAATTTCAGAGCCCTTTGACTGAATGCGGATACAGAAGTACTATTTTTCTCTTATGTTATAAGATTTTGTTTTCCTTAATGACTAATATAAAAATTACATACACAGATGTTCGAATTATGAACTGATATACTAATGAAGAAGAAATATATACAAAAGTTATGTGGCTTACACTTACTTGCTTTGAAAATTACTTACCTAAAGCTTTTCGTTTATTTATTTTTTCTTTTTAAAATTTTTATGACATAAAAAATTATTCTGAAAATCAAATGACGGGAAAATAATTTGTACTCAATTTGCGTAATTTATGCTTATTATCTTCTAAGATTACTGTATTAAAGATTGTGTTTATCTTTTTCTGAAATTATTAAGAGAAATTAAATTATTTTAGTTAAAATTATTTTGGATATTTTAACCTAATTACGTTTGCTTACTATTTTCTAGTGTTATATCGGTATCTTAAGATCTTCAGTTCAAAACAATACCTGTGGCTTTTCTATAATTATTTAACTAAAAAAATATTGAAAAGTATTCTGATAATCGTTCTCTATTAATTTTAATGAATTAGGTTTCTTACCATCATCACGAGGACAGAAAATGACATTAAGTATTTCAGCATACTCTTGTGAAAAGGATAGTACTGCAGCAGTTTTTGACTGAAAGGATTGTAAACCTCCTTGGTCCCACGAAATTGAGGTCTATCTGGTTCCACCTGATCGAAGTTGTCCACATGCCACTGGCGAGCCAAAGAAATCTGCTTCCTTTTCCAAATTTCCATAAAGATCGTCCCTTCAAAGATACATTTATGCTATATCAGATATTGCTCATAGTTACTTCTTGCTGTTCCAGAGATATTAAGACACATTGAATTGAATTATGTATTTAAAAAATTATTTTAGACACTTCTTTTAAAACTAATCTGGCATAAAACCTAACTAAGGATAAATAGTACAGTCTAGGAACAATCAAATACTTTATAGTATTCTGTTTCTAGATTTTAAGAATGACTTTAAAATATTAAAGAAATAGGAAGTGATTCGAAATTCTTAAATTAAAGGAAAACATATTCAGGTTTTTTTGCTGAAAAAATCTGATGTGTACACCACATGACTTCCTTGTACAGAATATTAAATTATACGCATTTTTTCTTGCATTTCATTTAACTTATTAGATTGAATTAAAACCTACTTCGCCGACAACGCAATTAAACCACAATAGAATAAATGCATTCTTTAAAATTCACTTGTTTACCATAGCGACACTCTGGCGCTAGGTTTACTTAACAGTATTATATTTCGTTCATATTATAACTCAGAATGCACAAAATTTATATCATTAAAAAATTATCTAATCGTTGCCACATATTCTATTCAAATACTATAACAAAGCTTAGAATGGTGTATAAAAGAAATTAAGCAAACAAAACAAAAAAGAAACAGTTTTTTCACAGACCGATTGAGTATTTCTCATTCAATTTAATTAGTTTTCCCTCGCGACAAGGCAAAAATACATAAAAAACTCAAATATCTGTATTAAAAATTACGAAGTAAATCTTAAATACTTATTTCCTCGAAAAAATTCCAGAAAGGATTAAGCATGATTTAATTCGCAATAATAAATGAAGGCGTTATTTTTGTGTTGCGAAGCTTAGTCTCTCTAGATTGGCAACAAATCTACAATTTTGATGTTTCAAATGTAAGGAAATATGCCCGCCATGTTATTTAAAACTTAACCGCACTTAAACAGGTTTTAAAATTGTTGATAATTGTACAAATATTGCTTCCAGAATTACGAATGCATAAAAACTTTAACCGGAAGATAAAAAACATAATTCAATCATTTTTAAAGCAAAAATGTACAATTTACAAACATTTAAGAGTAAAGAACTGAGATTACTGAGCCGGGTAACAGAGTGGATATATTTTATAAATATATTATACGTTTGGAGCGGTCGATTGAAACCAAAATACGAGGGCACATCTACATGTTATAGTAGTCTTATATACAAAATTGCAACGTTCTGAGGCTACTCGTTTTTGAGTTATGCGAGATACGTACGTACGTACGCACGCACGTCCGTACATACGTTCATACAGACGCACGAAAAATTCTCTTCAGAATTCATTTTAAAGCAGTTTTTTTTAGTTTTTTTGGAGGAAAAGAGTCTTTTATTCGTCCTTACGTACAAATATCACGCAAAAACATCGTTAAATTGCATTCGAAAGCGGTCAAAGTGGATATTTGCGTTGAAATATGCTGCCTGAAGCTTTCCGCGATTACAATACTTCCTTTTTACATCGTACAAGGAAGTTAAAAAAAGGGATGAGAAATTTTATGGATAAATTTCAAAGCCAGCTTTTCATTTTCATTTTATACAAGTATCATTTTATTATTTGATGCAAAAATATTATGCATGTAAATCTAGGAAATGAATGCAAAATCGTATTAATTTTCGCATCATATTTCCATGTGTATGCATTTAACACAACAAAAGCTATTTTTCTGTTTTCCATTTTATAATTATTTATTAGTCTAAAACTATTGGTTAGTTATATTAGTATATTATATTTAAGTTAATATATAAATTCAATTCATGTAAAAAGGGCATTCCCTACATAAAATTTTTGCTTCAAGAAAGAATGAGAAAAATTATTGCTTTATCTTTCAGTGATGCAAACGTTTTACTAGCTACTTCATGGTCTGAAGAAGACCTGCGAAATAAGCATTTGCATCAGCTAAGATTATACAAGACGAATATTGAACAGAATAATTTAATATCTACTTATTGTATCCTCCACTGATAATATCCAAAGATGATAATCCGAAGCTGCGTTTATTCCTCATTAGCACGACTCTGTCATGGACAGCTGCTCCTGATCATGAATGGTATGCTTGCAAACAGCCTGGTGCCTCCCTACTCGAGGAGAGGAACCCAAATTGTACTAGCAAGGTTTATCCTCCAGGCCCTAATAGCAGCTTTTCACAGGCCACTCCCTGGCATGTCTCTCATGCACTGCCTGCCAAGACCAAACCAAGATTTGATCTCAGGTCTCAAGGACTTGGTCAGAACGAACTCAAGAACTTGATCAAATTGTCATACAAGTAAGATAAAGCCACAACAGCAATATATTTTATCATCCTGTATAGTAATATACTTAATGCTAGTTTATTTTGCATATTCAAAGTTTACTTAATAAACTATAAATATCATAGAGAGCTTAGTAGTTTACTTTTATAAGTTTTCTAGCAAACGCCTGACAAAATAAATACGAAATCAGTTTAAATCTGATAAGCTTTACATTTCAAATTTTGATACATAAATTTAATTGACATGTTATTTCTTCATAAAAACATATATACGCTAATTAATACTCATAATAATAAAAAAATAGTGAAGGAAAAGATAGCATGCAAAAGTTAATTTTTCATGCAATATGCCCATGCAAATAACCTCATAAATTCCCTACCCCATAAGCATATGATGGCAGCAAATGCTGGAGTTAGAGAATTATCACTAGATGATTTTACTATTTCGATGTAGTACATGACGTCTTTACCTTTCCAGGAATCCACCCTGGAAAAAAATAAGATGGTGCACTACGATTAGCATTATACAGATGCGTCATAAACTAATGTAAAATCCATAAGGGTATGAAATTTAAAACATGGAAAATAGGGACTATTGATTAATTTATGAATGACGTTTATGAGCAGTTTGCAACGGTGTAAAATACTGTTTCAGAAGTTACGTTTCTAAGCTGATTTTCTTCTCTTCAAGTTAACAGTTTATCACTTTGTCAAAAATTCAATTTTTATTATAAATAATATCTTTCACGTTTTAAACAACAACATGCCAAGTTCATCAGATGCATTAAACAAGAATCTAGGTGTATAAAAAATGTAAATATCCCTGTGAATGCATCGTCAGTGACAATTTGCCTATATTTTCTTTAAATCTTCTATGCAGAAATCTTCGGGTTCAAAACATTTACGCTTACTCGGTTGCACAGTCTAAGCACATAATTTCTAGCCAATCAACGTTCAGATGATCCTATTATTAGGCTCAAATCCCTTCTTATTATTAAGATTACTCAGCTGAATTTAGAAAAGAAATATTCAACTGATTTTCATTTCCTCGATGAAGTAACCAAATTATTGTTTTATAATAGGTTGTCATAATATTCTTACGTTTTTCTCTTCCTGACACCAGTTGTTACGTTATTTTCTTCCTTCACGTTCGTACGGGGTTCTTAGATTTGGAGTGAATAACGACGACATTTGATGAAGTATCAAAACACACTTTATTTAGCCAATATTAATCAGGACAGCTCCAATAACACTTTTTACAGTTGTCGAAAATTTACTATAAACACGCTGGAACAATCAGCGACACAGCCTTCACACTGTCAGGCAATAACGGTGGAGATAGCTTCCTGCAAAGCACCCGACTCTGCTTTTCGGAGTACAGCTCCCCCCTCTGCTCGGTCGTTCTCGGAACTCCACGTACTCTCGAGACTCTCCACGCTACATTCGCGATGCACTCGACGACACATAGAGCATAGCTCCTGACTCTTCGGTTCAGTCGTTTCCGGAGCTCAACACGCTCTCTCGACGATGCACTAACCGCAATACTCTACGAGACTCTTTCGTGCACCGACGAGCCAACTCAGCACGTGGCCGGCTGTCACGCGATCGCCTCCGCAGGGATTGACTCGCTAGAGGAGACACATCACTCGATGAGAGACGCACAGTAACTGCTGCGGCCCAGCAGGGTTTATAT